ATTGTCTTTCTGATTGTCTTTGTTACAAGTTAGTGATTTTGCCTTCTTTGATAATATTTTCTGTTCTCCGTGTGAGTTGGTTCATTCAACAAAATGGGCAAATAAATTAACAATATATTATTTTTGACATCCAAGAACTCTATTAGATGCTTCAGTTCAGTGTACGTTTTTTAAGGGTGCTGGTATTTAAATATACCTTAACAGAATTAATTTAATGTTTTATGGGGGCATTAAACATTTATTTTCATGCCATTGATATTAACTCCTTTGGTTTAATCCTGCTTTAGCACCAACTGCTGCAATAAAAACTGAAAGACTGAATGTTATTATTTTGGGGGTTCTTGGACATATTTATGTTCTGCTTCTGGACTGAAATTACTTTCTAGCAATTTTTAAGGCAAACTAATGTTGTTTCCAAGAATTTTTTTAAAGTGTAAAACCAAGGGTTTCAAATTTTTATGTGAATAATGAAAAATGTTTTTTTTTTTTGTGGTTATTAACATCAGTTTTGTTGGGCTATGCATTTCAGTAGACTACATTTTTAACTCCCTTTTTCAAGGATCAATTGTTTGTTTGCTGCAGAGGAAAAAGGATTTGAATGCTGCTGTACAGTCCTCTTAACACGTGTGACGTAGTTGAGAAAGAATCCCCAAGCAAACAAACTATCCTGATGCATGCTCAATAATCCAGGTAGAAAAAAAAAAAAAATAAGTCTGGTCCTCTGGACATTCAAATGCAAGTGCACATAATGATGTGAGAGTATTTTCCAGTGTATAAGTCAGTTTTTTTTTTGCATAATTTACATGCCCTGCGACTTATGCACCGAAGCAATGTATTTATGGATTTTTTCCCATATTTATAAAACAATTTTTGGCTGAGATATGACCGTTTTCATTCATTCTGACTGAAAATATTAAACTCTACCATTTTCAGCCACTAGATGGCACTCGAATAGTATGGCATGCCGTTGTTGTCATGTAATAGGTCCAAAAACAGGTTATAAACAAAACAACTAGACTTTATTTGTATCTGAAGACATTTTGCTTAAAAGTTACAAATAAAGTCCAGTTGTTTTGTTTTTAACTTTTTTTTGTTTGACCATGTCCTGAATGACTGAGAATTTTCACCAGCGTCATGTAATAGGTAAAAGTGGCTATTAATAACACGATCGGCTTGCCAAAGTGAGCCACCTTCGTCCAGCTCAGGGATCATGCCTGGAGCAACCATCAAATCAGCTTCTCTTCGCTGCGCCACCACGGGGAGATGCAGCTTTGACCATAGAAGTGCATTTATTAAGAAGTTCAACTGAGACACACCTTTACTATAATGTCAAGCAAACAAATAATTGTTTTTAGGTGTTAATCTTGTTAAATTCTTGTTAATGTCCTCCTGTGCACACTCCCGCCGCCCCATGTGGCAGCCCATCGATTTTTGGCACAAAACCGGCCCACATTTCCGGGTTCGGCCCACATTTCCGAGTTGTCAGCGGTGATGCATAATAGATGTGACTTATACGGCGAAGC